AACATGGTGAAACCCCGTCTCTACTACAAATACAAAAATTAGCTGGACGTGGTTGCATGCGCCTGTAGTCCCAGCTACTCGGGAGGCTGAGGCTGGAGAATCGCTGGAACCCGGGAGGTGGAGGCTGCAGTGAGCCAAGATCACGCCACAACACTCCAGCCTGGACGACAGCAAGACTCAAAAAAACAAAAAATCAAAAACCTTCGTTCCAAGGGTGGAGAGGAGAGTATGCCGCAAACAGTTGACCTCAGACCCAATTTCCACTTAAGCCGCAGGAAATGGACGCGCCTATGCAGGCAAGAAAAAGGCCAGTAGCCCAGGAGCCAATAAGATCTGTCCTCTCCAAAAGCACAGCAGCCGTTTTCCTCTCCTGGGTGAGCGGGTCAGGAAGAAGCAGAGGAAACAGACAAGTCAGGCTTGAGCGCCCCCTGGAGGCTCATGCAATTATTTGGCTATCAGTACCCCACTTTCCTGAAACGTGGAATTTAGCAGAAACGATCAGGGGGCTACTCTCTGTCCTGGAAGAATAGCTTTGTCATTGGTTTGGTCCAGGCTCTTTGGTTGTGTCTGAAACTCAAGGCTGGAGGAAAGCCTATGTGGCTGGTACTGTCTGTGACCTGATTTTTGCTTCCAAACAGCCCAAAGCAGGAAACCTTTTATTTATGTGTGCCTTTTTGTTTTGGAAACAGGCATTTGGACAGCTTGGTTGTATAATTTAGGACATTTTGGTAACACGAACCAACTCAAATTAGGTTAAGCAAGCCAGGCGCCTAAGCCTGCAATCCCAGCATTTGGGGAGTCTGAGGTGGGAGGATTGCTTGAGCCCAAATGTTTACCAGCCTGCCAACAACACAGTGAAACCCCATCTCTACAAAAAATACAAAAATTATCTGGGCGTGGTGATGCGTACCTGTAGTCCCAGCTACTCGGGTGGCTGAGGCACAGGAATCGCTTGAACCTGGGAGGCAGAGGTTTCAGTGAGCTGTGATCAAGCCACTACACTCCAGCCTGGGTGACAGAGCAAGACTCTGCCTCAAAAGAAAAAAAAAAAAAGAGTACTCATGAAAACCAACATCCTTATGTCTAAATATTTAAAGCTATAAAAAAATGAAGCTAGCAAACTGTTTAATGTTCTATCCTCTTACCTTGACAAAGATGTCATTATAGTGGCAAAATTAAGAACTATAAAGTTGTGGGGATTTATTTTTCTTTTTTCTTTCTTTCTTTTTTTTTTTTTTTTTTTTTTTTTTGAGATGAAATTTTGCTCTGTTGCCCAGGCTGGAGTGCAGTGGCATGATCTCACCTCATTGCGACCTCTGCCTCCCATGTTCAAGCGATTCTCGTGCCTCAGCCTCTTGAGTAGCTGGTATTACAGGCACGCACCACCATGCTCAGCTAATTTTTTGTATTTTTAGTAGAAATAGGGTTTCACCATGTTGTCCAGGCTGGTCTCCAACTCCTGACCTCAGGTGATCCTGATCAACCCCCCTCAACCTCCCAAAGTGCTGGGATTACAGGCATGAGCCACCCCACCAGGTCATTTGTTCTTACTCATCCAAACATCAACAACCCATCAACTGAACTCCAAGGTGTGTATAATAATAATTAAATTCCATTGCTTGATATGTTGCCTACTTTTAATTGTTCAAAAAATCACCGCTTGACTGGGTGCGGTGGCTCACGTCTGTAATTCCAGCACTTTGGGAGGCTAAGGCGGGCAAAAAATGCAAGAATTAGCTGGGCATGGTAGCGAGTGCCTGTAGTCCCAGCTACTCGGGAGGCTGAGGCATGAAAATTGCTTGAACTTGGGAGGTGGAGGCTGCAGTGAGCCAAGATCACAACACTGCACTCCAGCCTGAGCAACAAAGTGAGACTCTGTTTCAAAAAAAACAGAAAACAAAAAAACAAAGACACACACAAATATATATAATTTGTAAATTATCATATATTTATGCCACATAATTTAATTTTCTGGCTTTTATTTCAGCAAAATCACTAATTATGCTTTTATAATCAAGATTTTTCATATACTTTGTACTCTAAGAACAGTTCTAAGTAAAGCAGCAAACTATAGCCAAGAGCCAAATGCAGCCTGTGGCTTGTTTTTGAATGAACCCATAAGCTCTCAGTATGGCTTTTACAGTTTTAGAGTTATCTTTTTAAAAGAATATGTGACAGAGACCTTATGTGACCTAAAATATTTACTACTTGTTCTTTACAAAAATGTTTGCTGCTCCCTTATCTAAAGCAATGCTACTTAAAGTGTGCTCTGAAGCCTGGTCTGGGAGCTCTTTGTCATCAGCCTACAATGGGATAAGGGGCTTGTGCCAGAATCCCTAATCACAGTTTTAGTTGAACTATTTTTTTTTTTTTCATAGCGAGACTTTACTTTTTTTTCTTTTCTTTTCTTTTTTTTTTTTTTTTTGAGACGGAGTTTCACTCTTGTTACCCAGGCTGGAGTGTAATGGCGCGATCTCGGCTCACCGCAACCTCCGCCTCCTGGGTTCAGGCAGTTCTCCTGCCTCAGCCTCCTGAGTAGCTGGGATTACAGGCACACGCCACCATGCCCAGCTAATTTTTTGTATTTTTAGTAGAGACAGGGTTTCACCATGTTGACCAGGATGGTCTCAATCTCTTGACCTCGTGATCCACCCACCTCGGCCTCCCAAAGTGCTGGGATTACAGGCTTGAGCCACCACGTCCAGCCACTTTTTTTTTTTTTTTTGCTTAAAAAAAGTTTCAAATATAGAGACAGGGTCTCACTATGTTTCTCAGGCCAGTCTTGAATTCCTGGGCTTAAGCGATCCTCCCACCTCTACCTCTACCTCCTAAAGTGCTGGGACTACAGATATGACTCACTGTGCTTGGCTGACACTTTCTGGTCTTTCTTTTGTTGAGACACGGTCTCACTCTGCTGCCAGGTTACTGGAGAGCAATGGCAGGATCTCAGCTCACTGCAACCTCCACCTCCTGGGTTCAAGTGACTCTCCTGTCTCAGCCTCCCAAGTGGCTGAGATTACAAGTGCATGCCACTACACCTGACTAATTTTTGTATTTTTAATAGAGACAGGGTTTCACCATGTTGGCCAGGCTGGGCTCGAACTCCTGACTTCGAGGAGTCCATCCACCTCAGCCTCCCAAAGTGCTGGGATTAGAGGCGTGAGCCACTGCGCCCAGCAGAATTAGGCAAATTTAAAATTTTGTCTTTTCCTTTTACCTAAGCACGTTGTAGCTGAAATCCTACCAGTCCTCCAAAGCACTGCCCACAAACTTTTCATTGCATTTGGATGCAATCGCCTTCTGACATCACAAGGCAAGAGATTTGGAGAAACATTTCCCCTGGGGCCTGAATAGCATTAGTCCCAAGAGTGGAGGTTTAGGGTTATCAGTCATGCAGTACCAGCACAGAGCACTGGAATCTAAGTAACAGAGATGCCCCGGGCTTCCTCAGTAAATGCACGTGTCTGTGAAATGCAGAGGACGCTAGAGCACAAGGTCCAGGTAGGGGCTCCTCTTGCTTGGATCTAAGGGCAGTCATATGGAACTGTGTTGGAATGGGACAACGCAATGCTGTTTCTCTAGATAGCTGTGCTTGTTTAGCTTATTTTTCCTTCCAATCAAAGGCTGTTTGTCTTTTTTTTTTTTTTTTTTTTTTCTAGAGATGGGGTCTCACTATGTTGCCCAGGCTGGCCTCAAACTCATGGGACTCAGGCAATCTTCCCGCCTCGGCCTCTCAAAGTGCTGGGAGGACAGGCGTGAGCCACTGTGCCCAGACTACAGTGATGTTAGCATATATAAAAATGCATGAACTATTGCACAAAAGGATTCTACATGTTAGTTAAAGCCATAAAAGCAGTAGCAATATAATCTTTATGACACATAGTGAATCAGGCATGTGCTCCGTTCTGTTTTCGGAGAGTAAAAAATGTCTGCTAGTCTCTATCCATACCTCAGAAATGCTGAATTAAGAGATTTGTTTACCACAGGATTTCTCAGAGGCTTTACTACAGTCACGTGAACTGCGGCCTGCCAAGAAAGAGACACAGCATGCGGAATTTCTCACAATTATTTGAGCACCAAAATCAATTTTGCTGTAAATCTGTTTTTCAGGAATTTTTATTGATCTCTCAGAGAACACATTTTTAGCGATCCCAAACTACCCTAGGCCACATTCAGGAGGAAAAAGGCTCCAGGTAAATGGAAACTGTGAAGGCAGGGCTGGAGGGGTCACGGAATCTGCCGACCCCCAGGCAGCAGAAAGGCTCATCCGACAAGAGGATGGAAGCACTCTGTAAATGACACGAGTGTTGAGTGATCAGCAACTGGCCTCAAGTCCCTGGAGCTTGGTGGCTTGTCACCGCACTCGCACTGTCTGTTCGCCATCACACTTTGGCATGAGCTCCGAGTTCAATCCCTGGCATTCTGGAATGAGCCTAGAGTGAGTCTGATGCCAGGGCTGCCTTTGTTCTGGTAGACAGTGGGACAGCCCCAAGGCCTTCCTCCCCTCTCAGATGCCTGGATGCCTTCTTTTAGGCTCCCAACAAGCTCCCTCCACGGACCCTTCCTCTACTGCCTGGGACCTGGTGACACCTTCGCTTGTCTCATCCTCTGACCTCGGCTGCCGAATTCTGTGATTGGACCGAACTGAACTGGGCTGCAAACCTCCTCAAGGCAAGGACCCTGGGTTGTTCACATTTTTTGAGACCACAAGGTAGAACCCAGTGAAAATGTAGGGATGACAGTGATGCTGGAGCCAATGCTTCTGACTGAGGCAGAATCTCCGCCAAACAACTATCAAGGACCAGGCAGCTGTTCTTTTGAATGAGGACACCAACCAATGTAGTCTTTTGTGTGAGATCAGATGAGACAATGTGAGATACTGTACATGCAAATGCTTCATAAAAGGCAGGGCACTGTACAAATCATCATTGCTAATAATACAGTCTCCACTGCCCTGGTCAGTGACTGGTTCATTTCTAACGACCCTTCACCTTTGATTGGTACTTCCACTAACTGAGCCATATCCCTTTGCCCTGCCCACCAGCTGGGTTGCTACAATGTTTATCTATCAGGAGTCCAGTTTTTGGTGGCCCCAACCACTGGTTCCACTGCTATAGATACCATAATCAGCCCGCCTAGTGCATCTCCTACGCTCCCACACCTTTACGTGGCACACTGGAGATGGTTCTTGAAGTAATGGAGAGCCAGCTTGAACTGGATCTGGGCAAGGGTGTTGGCCCGGTATGTGTTGTAGGTCTTCTCCAGGTCAGCCAGCTCTGAGTTCGCCACTGGAGATCGAGACTGGTGACCTATAGTCACTTCTGGGCACGACCCCACGAGTAGGGTCCCTAGCCCATCAATGAAGAATTCTGCAAAGAGAAGGAGAGCAGAAGGCAGTGGGAGCTGCCATCAGAGAAGTGGGCACTGTTCTAGGTCTGGGGGGAGAGTCCCAGGAAGAGGACACAGTTCGTACGCTGGGGAAGTTCAACCCCACGTGAAGCCCCACCCTTAACTCTAGGAGCCTGTCCCTGCTGAGGAGGTAGAAGGAAATAAATAAGCTCATTTCTCAGGCAGAAATATGGGCACAGAGGCAGAGAGGCACAGACTGGCTTTCAAACTGGACAGAACCGTGTACTCCAAGGCCGACAGGGTAAGAGGGAAAGAGACAGCAGTTAATAGGAAAGGATTTCGGAAAAATAGGATATGAAGCAGCGTGGGAAAGGAGGAAGAAGGCAGAGCTGTAGGGAGAGGAAGGGGAAGAAAAAGAAGGGCAGCCTGCAGGAGACACGGCAGTCAAAGAGGTGTGAGGAGGGAGGCAAGAGGGATCAAGAGCTCCCTAGTCTGGGGAGAGAGGGAGAAAGGGACGCGCTGCTGGGCGGCCAGCCAGGTCCAGCCCCCGGAAAGAACAAACTTCTGCAGCTAACTCTCAGCCCAGCCCCCTTCCTCACTCTCAGCCTTCCCACCTGAGTGAGCCACTCGTTGCAGGCGGGGATCAAAGCCAACTCTTTGGAGTCGCTCGGTGTGGGCCAGGAAGAAGTTGACCACGCCACTGGTCACCACGCAGCTGGGGAAGCCATCCAGGGGTTGGAAAAATCCTGTCCTCTTGTGAAGGCAGGCCCCGTTCTCACTCTGTTCCAGCAACAGCTTAAACTGGAACACATTTCCCAGCACGCTGCCGCCTACCTAGCCAGCAGGCAGAGAATCCATGTTAGAGAGTGCAGATCGATATTCACCCTGCCTCTTCCAGGAAGCGCTGCCGGACTGCACCTTGGTTATAACAAGAGTTGCTATTTCTCCATCTATCCTTCAAATTATCCTTCGGTTACTCCCTTTTTGCTGTTATGGCCATGGCTTTCGCTATACTACTCCTTGGGCTGTTTGATTTCCTGCCTACTCCAGAAAACCTCCTTGGCATGAGTAGCCCTTACCCAAGGCCAAAGAAGGTTATCTTTCCAGAAGAAGGTAACTCACTCCCTTCCATTACCTGTACTGCAGTACAGATAAGAGACAGCCTATTGTACAGGGGTGCATTTGTGGAGTTTCCACTTGTTAGATTTCTTGCAGGAAGTCGAGCTGTCTTCCTCCTCTTCTCTGCTCCTGGCTTACGTCTCTGAGCTGCCCATCTATGCACTCACGGGAGAGATGTGCATTTTAATGTTTGAGCCTGAGCACAACAGATGAGCAAGTCCATCCATTCCTGAAAGAATCGTAACCCTCTAAGGGTGACGGGGTAAAGGCTGCTCATTGCCCCCCATCATCTGTTCTGTCCTTCTTTTTAGTAAATGGCCCTTCTGAGTTTCATGATATAGTCAACTAGCCAACTAAAGACCGCATTTCCAGGAGCTAACCAGTGAGTACACGTGGGTGTACAGAGTGGAGTATCAGACACTGGAGGCTACAAAAGGTAGAGGTTAAGACTGAGCAAGAGTTAGGCCGGGCACAGTGACCGTGCCTGTAATCCCAGCACTTTGGGAGGCCAAGGCCGGCAGATCACCTGAGGTCAGGAATTCAAGACCAGCCTGGCCAATATGGTTGAAACCCCATCTCCACTAAAAATACAAAAATTAGCCGGGTGTGGTGACATGTAACTGTAATCCCAGCTACTTGGGAGGCTGAGATGAGAGAATTGCTGGAACCCAGGGGGTGAAGGCTGCAGTGAGCTGAGATTGCGCCACTGCACCAAAGCCTGGGTGACAGAGTGAGACTCTGTCTTAAAAAAAAAAATCACCTGAGTTTGGGAGTTCGAGACCAGCCTGACCAACATGGTGAAACCCCATCTCTACTAAAAATACAAAAGAATTAGCCAGGCAGGGTGGTGCATGCCTGTAATCCCAGCTACTCGGGAGGCTGAGGCAGGAGAATCTCTTGAACCCAGGAGGTGGAGGTTGTAGTGAGCCGAGATCACGCCATTGCACTTCAGCCTGGGCAACAAGAGCAAAACTCCATCTCAAAAAAAAAAAAAAAAAAAAAAAAAAAACAGATGGTGAAGGTTGAAAAATTCCCTATTGGGTACAATGTTCACTATGGAGGTAATGGGTGCACTAAAAGCCTAGACGTCACCACTATGAAATGCATGCATAGAAGCTATCTGCACGTGGGCCACTGAATCTAGTCAACAGAGGTAGATAGAAGTGCTGCACACATACCACTTTATTTATTTATTTTAGACGGAGTCTTGCTCTGTCGCCAGGCTGGAATGCAGTGGCACGATCTCAGCTCACTGCAACCTCTGCCTCCCAGGTTCAAGTGTTTCTCCTGCCTCAGCCTCCCCAGTAGCTGGGACTATGGGTACATGCCACCACGCCCAGCTAATTTTTGTATTTTTAGTAGAGCCGGGGTTTCACCGGTATGGTCTCGGTCTTTTGACCTTGTGATCTGCCGGCCTTGGCCTCCCCAAGTGCTGGGATTATAGGCGTGAGCCACCGCACCTGGCCTCAGTAAACATTCCATTTTAAAGGAGAACACAATTGCAAATGAGGAAGGGGGTGTAATTTGCTCAAAGAAAAGTCAGTGTAGAGGTGTGAGCTGGTGCAGCACTGTCCACCTGGGTTGCACTGGCCTATTCACCTCCTGCACCAGGCCCTCTCCCTCCGCCTCCTATCCTCTTATACATTTTTTCCCTCTCTCTGCTCCGCACTTGTCCAGCTCTACAGATTGCAGCTGGGTGAAACTGACAACTGTCCCTTACCACATCCAGTTCCGTTTTCTCCAGGACGTCCACCAACACCTCAATCTTGGTCTCACTGTTGAAGAGAAAATCATCGTCCACCCAGAGAACGTATTTGGTGGTGACCTGAGATATGGCCAGGTTCCTACCAGCAAACCAACCCTGTAGACGAAACGAGGTTAGATGAGTGGTTGCCCATATGACATATTGGAATCACGTGGGGAGCCTTCCAAATTCCCAACAGCCAGGCCGCATGCACTCCAGACAAATTCCATCAGAATTGGTGGGAGCGAATCCAGAGTGCAGCCAAGGCTGAGAACCACGGGGCTGAAGGAAGTCCGTGTCTCAGAGAAAGTCTGGAAGGGACAGGGACTACTGCATCAAAGACTGAGACAAAGAAAGACTAGGAAGTGTTTCCTTGGCTCTGTGGCCTATATGAATTGGCTGAAGTCCCTTTTTGCCTGACAGTTTCTATGGCTCTCCTTTTGTCTCCTGTAAGATGTCAAGTTTGAGGGACATCTGGTAGGTATAATATTCATTTCCTCCTGTGTCCTTGCAGGAAGGAGGGCGGAGAGAGAGGGAGGAAGAGAATGAGAGCGAGAGAGAGTAGCAGGGAGAGTGAGAGGTGGCAGGAGAGAGAGGGAGGGTGAGAGAAAGGGAGGGAGAGGGAGAGAGAAAAGGTGGGAAGGGAGAGAGAGTCAAGGAGAAAGAGGGAGAGAGAGAGAGAGGAGAGAGAGACCAAGATCCTAGCTTGGGTAGAATCATGGACGGGAGAGATTTCTCTACATCTCAGGAATCTTTGGGATGTCAGAGACCTCAAGCCGCTTATAAGGACTGCAATCAATTTCCACATCAGAAATGAGGAAAGATGGGGGTGAGGCACAGTGGCTCACCTCCGTAATCCCAGCACTTTGGGAGGCCTAGGTAGAAGAATCGCTTGAGCCCTAGAGTTCAAGACTAACCTGGCCAACACAGTGAGACCCCATCTCTACAAAAAATTTTAAAAATTAGCCTGGCATCATGGTGCATGTCTATAGTCGCAGCTACTAGGAAGGATGAGGTGAGAGGAGCACTTGAGCCTTTAAGGTCGAGGCTGCCATGATCACTGTGATTGCACCACTGCACTCCAGCCTAGGTGACAGAGCAAGACTCTAGCTCAAAAAAATGAAAAATAAAAAAATAGAAATGAGGGGCTGGGCGTGGTGGCTCACATTTGTAATCCCAGCATTTTGGGAGGCTGAGGTGAATGGATCACCTGAGGTCAAGAATTTGAGACCAGCCTGGCCAACATGGTAAAACCCTATCTCTACTAAAACTACAAAAAATAGCAGGGTGTGGTGGTGCATGCCGGTAGTCCCACCCACCCGGGAGGCTGAGGAAGGAGAATTGCTTGAACCTGGGAGGCGGAGGTTGCAGTGAGCTAAGATCACACCACTGCACTCCAGCCTGAGCAACAGAGCAAGACTTCATCTCAAAAAAGAAAAAAAAAAAAAATGAGGCAAGGTGGAAGAACTACCTCATGAATGCAGAAAAGTAAGGGTGACCCAATTTCTCTCTGAATCAGCAAGGGGACTCAAAGGACAGTTCTCACCCACTCCCACTCCTGGACTCTGCTTCCTTGGGAAGACCCCTGAGGAAGCAGCCCCATCCAGGGTAGAACATGACCCTGGGGCCCTCTTCTCCTGGAATGCAGGTGCTCCCCAATCTGAGAGGGACATACCTTCCCGAACGGCATGGTGTAATACTCCACGTGATTGTCTTTAATCTCCAGGGGCTTCTTGCTGTCGTCAGCCACTATCACGGTCAAGTCTGGGTAATACTCTCGAATACTCCGGAGCATGGTCATAAGCTTATGGGGGCGGAGGAAAGTCTTGGTGGCAATGGTGACCAGGTTTCTGAGCTTCCTCTCTAGGCAGAAAACCGTGGGTGTCAGAGCTCTGTCCTGTAGGAAGCTTCACTGTCTTTTCCTGCTTTGATCTGATGGCTTCTTTATGTCATAACCTGTCAGTGTCTGTGGGCCTTACGCCTCTTGTACCCAGGAGGTGCTTAATGAGAGTTTGCTAGTTGCATTAGAAAACAAAGACATTTAAAACATACCCAATGTGTTGCATTTCCTGGTTCTGTTGGCTCCACTATGCCATTTCCCACCTGTCTGTCTGAATGTTTCATTTACACCTGCCTATTAGCACTTTGCTTGTTTCCTGCTTTCATCTTTTGTTTGTTTGTTTGAGACGGAGTTTTGCTCTTGTTGCCCAGGTTGGAGTGCAATGGTGCAATCTCGGCTCACTGTAACCTCTGCCTTCCGGGTTCAAATGATTCTCCTGCCTCAGCCTCCCAAGTAGCTGGGATTACAGGCATGCGCCACCACATCTGGCTAATTTTGTATTTTTAGTAGAGATGTTTCACCATGTTGACCAGGCTGGTATAAAACTCCTGACCTCGTGATCTGCCTGCCTCGGACTCCCAAAGTGCTGGGATTACAGTCATGAGCCACCACACCCGGCCTTCATCTTAACAGTAAGAGTTGAGATGCATGGAGCTTTGCCCATCTAAGGGCTCAATATGGAGGGTCATGGAGCCCAGGAAGAGGAGAAGACATCTACAAATCTTGAGACTTGCTTCTACCATCATCTGCAACTCCTACAGAAAAGCTTACCTGATCTCTATTCTCAGGATGACATGGTTAGAAATAGGTCTACTTGGAGATTGCAAGGCCTGGACCGAATTGCCCATCTTAAGGCATGTGACGTATAAGAGACTGGAGAGGGGACATCATGGAAAAGATCCCATGATGATGCAGCTGGAGCTGCAGGTGTGTTTGGGATTCAGCTACTGAACAGCGAACTAGCAGCTGACTGTGCAGTTGCCATGTCCACGCGGCGTGGGGCCAGCTGGAGTTAATGCATGCTGGAAGCCACACCCCTCCCTGTTTGTGAGTGAATGCACTTAGCCACTTTCCAAGAATGACAGAAATCAGAAGTCATTTGGACAGAAGTCATTCCAGAACCCGACCCCTGTGCTGCCCTTTTGCACTTTTTTTTTTTTTGAGACAAGTTCGTGCTCTGTCACTTAGACTTGAGTTTAGTGGCGTGTTCTCAGCTCACTGCAACCTTCATCTCCTGGGTTCAAGTGATTCTCCTGCCTCAGATTCCCAAGTAACGTAGCAGGGACTACAGGCATGCACCACCATGCCCGGCTAATTTTTTGATTTTTTTTTTTTTTTTTTTTTTTTTTGAGACAGAGTTCCGCTCTTGTTACCCAGGCTGGAGTGCAATGGCGCGATCTCGGCTCACCGCAACCTCCGCCTCCTGGGTTCAAGCAATTCTCCTACCTCGGCTTCCCGAGTAGCTGGGACTACAGGCTTGCGCCACCATGCCCAGCTAATTTTTGTATTTTTAGTAGAGATGGGTGTTCACCATGTGGGCCTGGGTAGTCTTGAAGTCTTAACCTTAAGTGATCCGCCCACCTTGGCCTCCCAAAGTGCTGGGATTATAGACATGAACCACTGCGCCTGGCCCATTCTGTTTTTTGCCACTGCAAACGGTGCTGCACTAAATAACCTCAAACAAATATCATTTCACACAGATATAAATATCTGTAGGATAATTTCTATAAGTGGAATTGCTAGCCTAAAGGATATGCACATTTAAAATGTTGATAGATACTGCCAAATTCCCTCCAGAGAGGCGCCGATTTACATTCCTAACAGCAGCTGATATGCCGTTTTTCCAACCCTGTCCAAAACCTTTTGATGTGGGGTTTTTGTTTGTTTGTTTGTTTGTTTTTGAGGAGTCTTGCTCTGTCACCCAGGCTGGAGTGCAACTGCAACCTCCACCTCCTAGGTTCAAGTGATTCTCCTACCCCAGCCTCTTGAGTAGCTGGGATTATAAGCATGTGTCACCACGCCAGCTAAGTTTTGTATTTTTAGTAGAGATGCAGTTTCACCATGTTGGCCAGGCTGGTCTCAAACTCCTGACCTCAGGTGATCCACCTGCTTCAGCCTCTCAAAGTGCTGGGATTACAGGCCTGAGCCACCGTGCCCAGCTGAAAGTAGTTTTCATATGCACCTTTCTCAGTGTGAGAGTGGGCATATATTTTAAGGACTAAACGTGTTGCTGAATTTAATTTTTTCTGAATTGTGGATTTTTCCTTATTGGGTGTTCTTTTCTTATTGATTCATAGCTGCTCTAATGAGACCTTTGTCTTTAATGTGAGTTGAAGATTTTTTTCCCAATTTGGCCTTTGTCATTTGACTTCACTAATTAAAATTTGCTAATTTTAACATATAAAATTGTATGTATTTTATATTTTTAATTTTTTTACGGTCTCTGAGTTTTGCGTCATGACTTATACCCTAAGACTGTTTTTTAAACTCCATTTTTGTTTCTAGTACTTTAAAATGTATTTAGATAACTGATCGATTGGAATTTATCTTGGTATGTGACATAGATTCAAGTTTTACTTCTTTTTTTTTTTTTTTTTTTTTTTTTTGAGACAGAGTTTCGCTCTTGTTACCCAGGCTGGAGTGCAATGGCACGATCTCGGCTCACTGCAACCTCCGCCTCCTGGGCTCAGGCAATTCTCCTGCCTCAGCCTCCTGAGTAGCTGGGACTACAGGCACGTGCCACCATGCCCAGCTAATTTTTTGTATTTTTAGTAGAGACGGGGGTTTCACTATGTTGACCAGGATGGTCTCGATCTCTCGACCTCGCGATCCACCCGCCTCGGCCTCCCAAAGTGCTGGGATTACAGGCTTGAGCCACCGCACCCGGCCAAGTTTTACTTCTAATTTAAAAATTATTTTTCAGTTGTTAATTTGTTTTGAGACAGGGTCTCACTCTGTTGCCCAGGCTGGAGTATAGCGGTGATCATGGCTCACCACAGCCTCGACCTCCCAGACTCAAGGATCCTCCCATCTCAGCCTCATGAGTAGCTGAAATTACAGGTGTGAGCTGGATTACAGGTGCAAGCCATCACACTTGGATGAAAATTTTCTATCTTTCATATAGCTACACCATTATCTCACATGATTTTTTGAAAAAAACATTTTTAATTTGTTCATTTGTCCTCCTTTAATTTGACAAGCTTTTTTTTTTTTTTTTTTTTTTTTTTTTTTGAGACTGATTCTTGCTCTGTTGCCCAGGCTGGAGTGCAGTGGTGCAATCTCGGCTCACTGCAACCTCCACCTCCTGGGTTGAAGTGATTCTTCTGCCTCAGCCTCCTGAGTGGCTGGGATTGCAGGTGCCTGCCACCACACCCAGCTAATTTGTATATTTTTAGTAGAGATGCAGTTTCACCATATTGGCCAGGCTGGTCTTGAACTCCTGACCTCAGATGATCTGCCTGCCTTGGCCTCCCAAAGTGCTGGGATTACAGGCGTGAGCCACCTCGCCCAGCCAGACAAGCTGTCTTTATCACACAGTGAAATTCCAACATGTGTTGGGTTTATATCTGGATTTCCAATTTCATTCAGTACCACTCTTTTTATTATTATTACTTATTAAAATGTTATAATTCATTAGCTTTTTTCCTAAAATTAGCACAAACCCCATAATAAGTTAAAAATTATTAAGCAATTTTAGGGTAGTGTGTCCTAGAGGGTTTTTTTTTCCTCCAAATGAAGCTCGTCGTCAGGGAGCATATCAGAGCTGTCATTTGATCAATTCTCCTCCATCTCAGAAGTGATCCCTTCTGAATCCCTCCAATAGCTTCACAGAGTGCCACCATGGAGCCCCAAGAAGAAGGGCCTTACCTGGTCCAGGGTCATACAGCTTGGGTATGACAGGATTACGGATTGTCACCGGAAACTTGGCCACTGAAGATCTGGACTCCAGACTCACTGGAGGAAGAAATAAGGTCAGAGCACAGGCAGTACGGTGTCTGTCTGGATCAAACTCCAGGCCACCCCAGGAAGCCAGCATGACAAGGGAGTGCAGGTTTGATAGGGAGAGTCCTGGCTGGGATGAGATTATGGACCTCATAGACTCTCTGGCATTCCGGCTCCTGCCTTGCTGTGTCCCTGGGGCAACGTGCTGAATGCCTCGTAAGTTCATATGTCTTCTTTTAAAATAAAGAAACAAAAAAATATATATAATAGGATTGGTGTAAATATTAAATAATTTTTTGTAGTGCCTCACACATACAGGTGTTTTTAAAACGTTAGCTCCCAAGCCAGGCACTGTGGCTCACGCCTGTAATCCCAACACTTAGGGAGGCTGAGGCAGGAGGATCATGAGGTCAGGAGTTCTAGACCAGCCTGGCCAATGTAGTAAAACCCCATCTCTACTAAAAATACAAAAAAATTAGCTGGGTGGCAAGCACCTGTAATCCCAGCTACTCGGGAGGCTGAGGCAGGAGAATTGCTTGAACCTGGGAGGCAGAGGTTGCAGTGAGCCAAGACCGTGCCATTGCACTCCAGCCTGGGCAACAGAGTGAGACTCCATCTCAAAAAAAAAAAAGAGGAAAGAGGGAAGGGATCTTAAAAGCAGGCAGGCTTCCTGGAGGAGGAAGACTTTGAGAGGGCCCAGAGGTATCTTCCAGATCCATGAGCATTTGGCACCCCAAGGACAGACTCTCACCTATGTCCACCTTATGGTGCTGGTACCCCATGCTGGTGTATGTCACGTGCTGAAGGATGAACTTCAGCAGCTTCCGGTCACTGGTAGAAATGGTCAGCTGCTTCTGGCCTCTGCCCTGCACCACATTGTCTGGGACATCAGCAAGGGTGTTCAGTGTCCCCAGAGATGCTGTCAGGGTGACCTAGGGTGGGTGAGGTAGAATGATGCTCAATGCAGGGACCGGAAAATGTCTCTCTGGAAAGGTACCTAACCAGGCCAGAGCACATAAGGGTGAGGGGAGAAGCACCGGGGTGCCCTTGATAGTGTAGGGCTGGCTCTGCAGGGAGCACTGTGTTAGTGCCCCTGTACCCACCCCGCCAAGTCCTAGGGCCCATGGATGAAAGGACCCATTTCTGGAAATATTCGCATCTCTCAGCTTGCAGGGTTCCATTCTTCTCGACTTCTTACTCCACCTTTGATCTCTCTTTGCCATCTCCTGCTCTTCTCTCTATATATCTCTAAATGGAGTTTTTCAGACCTTCATTCTGGATTCTTTTTTTTTTTAAGATGGAGTCCATCACCCGTGCTGGAGTGCAGTGGCACCATCTCAGCTCACTGCAACCTTCGCCTCCTGGGTTCAAGCAATTCTCCTGCCTCAGCCTCTGGAGTAGCTGGGATTACAGGCATAAGCCACTATACCTGGCTAATTTGTTTTTGTATTTTTAGTAGAGACTGGGTTTCACCATGTTGGCCAGGCTGGTCTCAAACTCCAATCCTGGACTCCTTTTCCTTCTTTTTTTTTTTTGGTCTCACCTGTCACCAGAGTCTCACCTGTCACCCAGGCTGGAGTGCAGTGGCATGATCTCAGCTTACTGCAACCTTTGCCTCCCAGATTCAAGCAACTCTCCTGCCTCAGCCTCCTCCCAAGTAGCAAGGGATTACAGGCATGTGCCATCACATCTGGCTAATTTTTTGTATCTTTAGTAGAGACGGGGTTTCACCATGTTGGCCAGGCTGGTCTGGAACTCCTGACGGAATCCACCCACCTCGGCCTCCCAAAGTGCTGGAATTACAGGCGTGAGCCACCGCACCCAGCTTCTTTTCGCTTCTTACTCCACACCTTCCTCACCTTCCTGCTAGATTTCATCTGTTCCCGGTGGCTTTAAAACTCGTTCCTTTGCTGGTGGGGTCGCATTGTAAGTCTCACCTTTCTGAGATCCAACTGCTTGAATGTTTCACAAGCAACTCAAATTCATTCTTCAGAATGGAACTACTGATTTTTCTCTGTAAACCTGTTTCCGCCCACCCTCACCCCCTGTTCCTCCTGCCTTGTGCATGGCACCTCCATCCACTCAGCTGTCCCAGGCTGTGGGGGGAATCCTCCCTGCTCTGCCCTTTTCTGTACACAGACTGCCCGTCCAGTGGCAAGTCCTCTCAGCCCTCCCTCCAGAATGCATCTGGAACTGGCTTACCCTCTCCACCCCATTGCTACCCCACGACCCCTCTCTTCTCTTGCCTTCTGTGAGTCATCACGGTTCTCTATTAGAGGAAATTGGACAGTGTGGCTCCTGACACTGTTGACACTAGTCAGTCAACAGACACTTTCTGAAAATCCAGTTACAGGCACTGGGAAAACAGCAGTAAATGCCTTCAGGAAGCTTGCACTCCAGTGTGGAAGAGAGGGGAAAAGCATGGAGCCACACGCAGGGAGGATTCCGGTCCAGAGCAGGACTACGAAGAAGACAACATAGCCAGGCACGGTAGCTCATACCTGTAACTCCAGGGCTTTGGGAGATAGAGGTGGAGGATCATTTGAGCTCAGGAGTTCAAAACCAGCCTGGGCAACATGGCAAGAGCATATCTCAACTAAAAATTAAAAAAAATTTTTTTAAGTAACCAGGGGCTGGGTGCAGAGGCTCATACCTGTAATCCCAGCATTTTGGGAGGTTGAGATGGATCACTTGAGGTCAGGAGTTCGAGACCAGCCTGGCCAACATGGTGAAACCCTGTCTCTACTAAAAATACAAAAAGTTAGCTGGGTGTGGTGATGCACGCCTATAGTCCCAGCTACTTGGGAGGCTGAGGCAAAAGAATCAACTGAACTCTGGAAATGGAGGTTGCAGTGAGCAGAGATCGCACCACTGCACTCCAGCCTGAGTGACAGAGTGAGGACTCCATCTCAAAGAAAAAATTAACCAGGTTTGTTGGCATGTGCCTGCAGTCCTAGCTACTCAGAGGCTGATGTGGAGGATCGCTTGAGCCCAGTATTGCACCACTGCACTCCAGCCTGGGTGACAGGGTGAGACCCTGTCTCAAAAAAAGAAGACAACAGAGAGAAACAAGAACTCAATGGTGACAGGTGGCAGAGGTCTCAACGATCGGCTCACTCATCACCTATTCCAACCTCTGACTAGCCTGTAAAGGTGGAAAACTAAAACCACACTTCCCACACTCCTCTTGGTTAGGGTTCTGGGCATGATTTGCATCTCACCGATCAGATATAGCACCCTGAGACCTTGATGTGGAGCTACATAAAGTGGGGAAAGGAAGGCAGGGCACAAGCACCCTCTGTCCTGCCAGCCCTAACCCTGACAGAGGCCATGCAGTGCCGGAACCCGTGGCTGCAGTGGTTGCTTCTTCTCGAAGAAGCAGCAGCAGCCAAGGGGTCCTGTTCATCAGTGTGGCCTGGGAAGTCCTCTCTGGAACTTCAGCCGCTCACGAGGCTGGAAAAATCACATCTTCTTTTTTTTTTTTTTTTTGAGATGGAGTTTTTTCGCTCTTGTTACCCAGGCTGGAGTGCAATGGCGCAATCTCGGCTCACTGCAACCTCCGCCTCCTGGGTTCAGGTAATTCTCCTGCCTCAGCCTCCTGAGTAGCTGGGATTACAGGCACGCGCCACCATGCCCAGCTAACTTTTTGTATTTTTAGTAGAGACGGGGTTTCACCATGTTGACCAGGATGGTCTCGATCTCTTGACCTCGTGATCCACCCGCCTCGGCCTCCCAAAGTGCTGGGATTACAGGCTTGAGCCACCGTGCCCGGCCGAAAAATCACATCTTCTACAGAACACCCTTCCTTCGCCTCCCGCCTTGGGCTCATGTCTGACCTTGATTCTGGACAGGGGCTCCATCAAAGGCTGAGACCAGCCACAGCTGAGGGAATGAGGACAAGACGCCAAGTGCAAACAGGGGCTGGGATGAGGACTCACCTCATAGACAGGAGCGTCGGGTCCTTCAAACTGGAGACCTGGAGGACACAGGAAAAAGACAGGAAACAGCATGTGAGAGGACACTGCAGCTCCCCGCTGCTCTTGCCAACCTCGTGGACTCCTGTACACCCTCGAGAGTTCCTTCAGGTGTCACCTCCCACCCAGAGTGCCGGAGCAAGCGCCTCTCCCCGGGGCTCTGTTAGGTGGTGTTCCATAGTCTTTCTCAAACCCCCACGGTTCTAAAACCTCCGATGCCTGTCCTCAGCTTTGGAGGCTGTGAATTAACTCAGTTCCTTCTGGGAATCTGTTAGTGAAGGGAAGGAAGCATGGAGAAGTAATGAATCGTCATGTATAAGGCACCTGGAGTAGCCAAATCCATAGAGACAACACGTAGAGTGGCGTTTGCCAGGGGCTGGGGAGAGGGACAGTGGGGAGTTAAGTTAGATGGGTACAGAGTCCCAATGGGGATGATGGGACAGTTCTGGTGGTGACTGATGGTTGCACAACAATACGAATATCCTTAATGTCACTGAACAATACACTTTCAAATGGTTAAAAGTGTAAATTTTATGTTTATATATAATATATACTATTAACATAATATGTAATATATGTATTTACATGTACTCTCTCTCTCTCTCTCTCTCTCTCTATATATATATATATATATATATATATATTTTTTTTTTTTTTTTTTTTTGAGACGGAGTTTTCGCTCTTGTTACCCAGGCTGGAGTGCAATGGCGCGATCTCGGCTCACCGCAACCTCCGCCTCCCGGGTTCAGGCAATTCTCCTGCCTCAGCCTCCTGAGTAGCTGGGATTACAGGCACGTGCCACCATGCCCAGCTAATTTTTTGTATTTTTAGTAGAGACGGGGTTTCACCATGTTGACCAGGATGGTCTCGATCTCTTGACCTTATGATCCACCCGCCTCGGCCTCCCAAAGTGCTGGGATTACAGGCTTGAGCCACCGCGCCCGGCTTTTTTTTTTTTTTTTTTTTTTTTTTTTTTGAGACAGACTCTCACTCTGTCGCCCAGGCTGGAGTACAGTGGCATGATCTTGGCTCACTGCAACCCCTGCTTCCTGGGTTCAAGTAATTCTTCTGCCTCAGCCTCCTGAGTAGTTGGGACTACAGGCATGCCTGGCTAATTTTTGTATTTTAGTAGAGATGGGGGTTTCACCATGTTGGCTAGGATAGTCTCAATCTCCTGACCTTGTGATGACCTCATGATCCGCCTGCCTTGGCCTCCCAAACTACTGGGATTACAGGTATGAGTCGCCTCGTCTGGCTTTTTTTTTTTTTTTTTTTTTTTTGACATAGAGTCTCGCTGTGTCACCCAGGCTGGAACGCAATTTTGCCATCTCAACTCACTGCAACCTTCACCTCCTGGGTTCAAGTGGTTCTCCTGCCTCAGCCTCCCAAGTAGCTGGGACTACAGGTGTGAGGCACCACACCTGGTTAATTTTTGTATTTTTAGTAGAGACAGGGTTTCACCATGTTGGCCAGGCTCAAACTCCTGACCTCAGGTCATCCACTCCCCTCAGCCTCTAAAAGTGCTGGGATTACAGGCGTGAGCTACTGCACTTGGCCAATTTTTTTTAGACAGAGTCTCACTCTGTCACCCAGGCTGGAGTGCAGTGGTACGATCTCAGCTCACTGTAAACTGCACCTCCCAGGTTCAAGCAATTCTCCTGCCTCAGCCTCCCCAGTACTGAGACCACAGGCACGCACCACCACACCTGGCTAAATTTTGTATTTTTAGTAGAGATGCAGTTTCACCATGTTGGCCAGGCTGGTCTCAAACTCCTGACCTCAAGTGATCCGCCTACCTGGTCCTCCCAAAGTGCTGGGATGACAGGCTTGAGCCACTGCACCCAGCCCGTTATGTAAATTTTATCACAATAAGAAATGAATCATCCAAAATGAAAAAAGGTTTTAAAATGGCTATTCAAGAACACTAGTGAGTCACCCCAAATGTATTTACTTTAGAATCTATCTCTATTCTTACAGTAGGACTGATTCGAATTCAAATTCAAATGCATCCTCTTGAAGTGGCCTTGGATAACTTACTGAACTCTCACCTCTGCTTCTCTGTCCCCTTTGTCCCTTGTCTGGGACCCTGCCCTTCCTTCTCTGTGGGGCGCACCATCTGTTGATGTCCCGAATCCTCCTCTGTCTGGGGCACTCACTCTCATCGCGCCTGTCTGAGGTGTGGTTTGTGAAATTCAGTTATCTGTCGTGCTCATCAGTGCTGGACCTGGAGAGAGCTCCGCTGGGTCTGTGAGATATGTCAGATCCCCCGTTGTCACCACACCTAGACCTTACTTGGAGGTCTTTTCTGGGGCTTGTAGGTTTCGGGGGTCTGTTTGCCTCAAGATGCCAAGAGCCCCCAAGCACAAAAAGACTCACTGGACAGACCCACAGAATCCAACATCTCTGCACTGGGAGGGGACATCTGTGCCTGCAGGCTCCTCCTTCTGGTCACTCAGACAATAGTCCACTTTGCTCTGATGAGGGAGGTGCTGCTGAACTAGAGGGATGTGTAAAAATCCCTCGTGGAGGGCAGTTTTAACCAACATAAATATTCTTTTCAAAATGCACTTCCAGCCAGGCTTGGTGGCTCATGCCTGTAATCCTAGCACTTTGGGAGGCCGAGGCAGGTAGATTATCTGAGGGTAGGAGTTCGAGACCAGCTTGGCTAATGGGGTGAAACCCCATCTCTACTAAAAATATAAAAATTAGCCAGGGGTGGTGCTGGGCACTTGTAATCCCAGCTACTTGGGAGGCTGAGGCAGGAGGATCATTTGAACCTGGGAGGTAGAGTTGCCCTGACCCGAGATCTCACCACTGCACTTTAGCCTGAGAGATTGAGCAAGACTCCATCTCAAAAAAAAAAAAGAAATCACATCAATTTCCTGGCTTGTGCTGAGTACACAGCAGGTATCAATGAATGCCTGCTCCATATTTTTATTTTTCTTTCTTTCTTTTTTGAGACAGGGTCTCGCTTTGTCACTCAGGCTGAAGTGCAGCAGCACAATCTCTGCTCACTACAGCCTCGACTCCCCCAAGTTCAAGCAACCCTTCTGCCTCAACCCCCTAAGTAGCTGGGACTACAGGTGCCCACCATCACACCCAGCTAATTTTTCTATTTTTTGTAGATACGGGGTTTTGCCATATTGTCCAGGCTGGTCTCGAACTCCTGAGCTCAAGCAATCCACCCGCCTCAGCCTCCCAAAATGCTGGGATTACAGGCTGGAATGAGCCACAGCACTTGTCCCCCTCCCCCGCTTTTTTTTTAAGGAGACAGCAGGGTTTCATATGTCACCCAGGCTGGAGTGTACTGGCAAGACGATAGGTCACTGCAGCCTTGAACTCCTGCCTTGGCCTCCCAAAGTGCTGGGATTACAGGCATGAGCCACTGCACCCCACCTCTCCCTCCTTTTGCCTAAGAAGAGTGAGAATGCTCTCTAGGGCCTCTCAGGATGTGGATGTACTTACCCGGGATGGGAACTGTGTGCAGGGGCATTACCTCCACTCCGTGGACTGGGTACCCAAAGGGGAGGTTGGGCTGGGCCAGCAGGGGCAGTGGGCGGGGAAGCCCTTCTCTGCAGGAGAACAGAAACATCAGCAGTTGCCCTGATGCTGGTCCCTGGTTAGTTCTCACAGTGGTGCCTGTGCACAGAGCCTTGCCCTGACAATGCGGAGAAATCAAAAGTGGCTTGTCCCTGTCTCCCTCCATTCTCACCCACAGCCCTTATTTCCTCCCCTCTCCTGACCTCCCTCCACAAAGGTACTGAGGTGGTTTATAACAAAGCATTTTTGTTTTTGAGACAGGGTTTCACTTTGTCGCCCAGGCTGGAGTACAGTGGCACAATCACGGCTCGAAGCAGTCTTGACCTCCCTTACTCACGCAGTCCTCCCATCTCAGCCTTCCCATAGCTGGGACTACAGGTACATGCCACAAAGCCCGGTTAATTTCTACAATTTTTTGTAGCGATAGGGTCTCACTATGTCGCCCAGGCTGGTCTCCAACCCCTGGGCTCAAGCAATCCTCCTGTCTCAGCCTTCAGAGAAGCCAGGACTATAGGAGAGGGCCACCATGTCTGGCTAACAAAGCAAATTTTTGAAAAAAACATGACCAGCATAAAAGGAAAAATAAAATTATCAGACTGTAGGGGCCCATCTAGCTGCAGCAGCTAAACACCAACGTCACATCTGAACTTCGAGGAAACCAGGATAACAAGAAATTGACAACCAGTACGTGCCCTTACTATCCAAAAGAAGAAGTAGACCAATTCCTGAAGGGAAGTGGAACTTCTCCCACCACTGAAATAAAAAAGAAACTAAGTCACAACAAAGTTTACCTGTGAGTATTGTTGTCACAATCTTTTTAGAGCAAACAGAGGAACTATTTTCATGGTTTTTGTTGTTGTTGTTGTTGTTATTGATAACAATCTTTAGTCAAAAGCTTGCGACTCTTACCCACTCTTCATGAAAGTGAGTTCACACAAGCCCTCTTGAGGGAAATTTGTCAGTATCTATCAAAAATAAAAAAGACATACTCTGGGATCTAGCAAGTAAGATATTAAGTGAAAGGAGAAATGCTTGCATGTGTAAACAGTAAGACAAGCATAAGGACATTCATTTCAGGGTTGTTTGAAATGGACATTCTTATACATGTATTTTTTTTTTTTCCTGAGACAGAGTCTCACTCTGTCACCCAGGCTGGAGTGCAGTGGCATGATCTCGGCTCACTACAACCTCCACTTCCCAGTTCAAGTGATTCTCCTGCCTCAGCCTCCTGAGTAGCTGGGATTATAGGCACGTGCCACCATGCCCGGCTAATTTTTTTATTTTTTGTAGAGATGGGGTTTTGCCATATTGTCCAGGCTGGTCTCAAACTCCTGGCCTCAAGTGATCTGCCTGCCTCAGCCTCCCAAAGTGTTGGGATTATAGGTGTAAGCCACCATGCCTGGCCCTTATACATGTCTTTTTTTTTTTTTTTTTTTTTTGAGATGGAGTTTCGCTCTTGTCACCCAGGCTGGAGTGCAATGGCACGATCTTGGCTCACTGCAGCCTCCGCCTCCTGGGTTCAGGCAATTCTCCTGCCTCAGCCTCCCGAGTAGCTGGGATTACAGGCATGTGCCACCATGCCCAGCTAATTTTTTGTATTTTCAGTAGAGACGGGGTTTCACCATGTTGACCGGGATGGTCTCGATCTCTTGACCTCGTGATCCACCCGCCTCGGCCTCCCAAAGTGCTGGGATTACAGGCGTCAGCCACCGCGCCCGGCCCTTATACATGTTTTAATGAAAAAGGAAAGAATGTAAATATAATGTAATACTATTATCATGTAAATGTAAAAAGGAAGGTTTTCCAACAATCTAAATACCTTTCAACAGGGAAATGGCTTAGTAAAATGCAGTATATTCATATTCATAGTTATATTACAATTAAGAGGGATTAACTAGATATATACATAGCTTTTTTTTTTTTTTTTTTTTTTTTTTTTTTTTTTTTTTTTTGAGGCAGAGTCTCGTTCTGTTGCCCAGGCTGGAGCGCAGTGGCACGATCTTGGCTCACTGCAACCTCCACCTCCTGGTTTCAAGCGATTCTCCTGCCTCAGACTCTTGAGCAGTTGGGACTAGAGGTGTGTACCACCTCATCCAGCTAATTTTTTTGTATTTTTAGTAGAAACGGGGTTTCACCAATGTTAGCCAGGAAGGTCTCAATCTCCTGGCCTTGTGATCTGCCCACCTCAGTCTCCCAATACATAGCTCTTAAAACCATATCATATTCCTTTCCAGTTCCAGCCCCAGACCCTGCAGCCACTGAGCTGTTGATACTTAAGAGGAACAGGATTGCCATTTATGAACTCCTTTTTTTTTTTTTTGAGACGGAGTTTTGCTCTTGTTACCCAGGCTGGAGTGCAATGGCGCAATCTCGGCTCACCGCAACCTCCGCCTCCTGGATTCAGGCAATTATCCTGCCTCAGCCTCCTGAGTAGCTGGGATTACAGGCACGTGCCACCATGCCCAGCTATTTTTTTGTATTTTTAGTAGAGACGGGGTTTCACCATGTTGACCAGGATGGTCTCGATCTCTTGACCTCGTGATCCACCCGCCTCAGCCTCCCAAAGTGCTGGGATTACAGGCTTGAGCCACCGCGCCCGGCCTTATGAACTCCTTTTTAAGGAGGGAGTCACGGTGGTCAAGAAGGATGTCCTCATGTCTAAGCACCCAGGGCTGGCAGACGAGAAGGTGCCCAACCTTCATGTCATAAAGGCCATGCAGTCTCTCACGTCCCAAGGCTATGTGAAGAGACACCCTGCCTGGAGACATTTCTACGGGTACCTTACCAATGAGGGTATCCAGAATCTCCATGATGACACCATCTGCCCCCCAAGATTGTGCCTGCCACCCTATGCCGCAGCTGTCCAGAGACTGGTAGGTCTCTGCCTAAAGGTCTGGTGGGTAAGCCACCTGCAAGACCCATAAGAGGGGAAGCCGACAGCCTGCTGCTTCTAACAAGAAAGCCGAGCTGGGCACGGTGGCTCAAGCCTGTAATCCCAGCACTTTGGGAGGCCGAGGCGGGTGGATCACAAGGTCGAGAGATCGAGACCATCCTGGTCAACATGGTGAAACCCCGTCTCTACTAAAAGTGCAAAAAATTAGCTGGGCATGGTGGCACGTGCCTGTAATCCCAGCTACTCAGGAGGCTGAGGCAGGAGAATTGCCTGAACCCAGGAGGTGGAGGTTGCGGTGAGCCGAGATCGCGCCATTGCACTCCAGCCTGGGTAACAAGGGCGAAACTCCGTCTCAAAAAAAAAAAGAAAAGAAAAAAGAAAGCCGAGGCTAGGGCTGCGTCAGCAACTGAATTCCAGCGTAGAGGCAGATGATTTGGTCATGGATGTGGTCAGCCACCTCAGTAAAATTGGAGAGGATTTTTGTTTTGTTTTTAGATTTTTTGAGACAGGGTCTCGCTCTGTCACCCAGGCTGGAGTGCAGTGGCACAATCTCAGCTTATTGCAACCTCCGCCTTCTGGGTTCAAGCGATTCTCCTGCC